ATCTTGTTCGACTGGTGTTGCTCTGCTGTTATTTCTAATTTCTTTGGCCTGTTTCCCACATATTTTACCATTGAGGCGGTCATGAAAAAGTTCCATGGCAGCAGCGTTCCCAATCCCAGGATGAAGAAAATGATGGCGACCAGAAAACCACTGCAAACGAGAGAAGAAGAAGATAATCAACATAATTGCAAAACATTCATACATCCTCAGGTTAAAAACAACATGAGTCTACAAGTCTTCAGAGTTGATTTCCTCTATCCATACTATACTTAAAATACCATATTGGGTCAATGTTGAGTCAGTCAACAGTATAAAAAGACATTTACACTGCCTGGTTCAAGTGACTCAATTCAGATTTTTTCTAACATGTGGCACAGAGGGGATATGGCGCATGTATGTGTATGCAGGAAAAAAAAAACACACGGATTCCGATTTACTCAAATCAGATTCAGACCTTGTTCATATGTGGACATTTATCAGATGTGAATGGGATCAGTGCCCTGCTGTCAGCAATGTAAGCAGGTAGATTGGATTTTCACCCGTGAATGCGAGTGGCGCATCATTAAAACTCTAGTAAATGACGTCAACTCTCAGAACAGACTTTAGTCCCAAACCATACATGATTTATGAAAAATCACTATTTGTAAAACACTGTATATATTAAGGATTAGTTAAAGGTTTATGTACTGTTAATAAGGTTGTATGATAATGCATTATTTAACCAGAGCAGTCATGCTCATCTAAAAGCTGGAGTAAAATGCTCCCGATAAGGCGCTTTTCTCTCTGTTTAAGTGCTGATATAGTCACATTTATAGAGGAAATCTCTGCTCTTTTACATTATCTGCTCACTGAACGAATGAGTGTGGGAAAGCAATGTAGTGAATGATAGTTTTGGTATATGGTGTTTTCAAATTGACATGGTGTAACTAGGGCTGGGCGATTTAGCAAAAAAAAAAAATCTAGGTTTTTTATAAAGTTTGACCGATTCACGATTTCGATTTTTTTTTTTATTGTGTTACTAGTCTTCTCAAAACATTACAACAACATGACTGAAGTAAAACTCTCTTTAAAAGTAACTTGAAAACCCATCTGGTTAAGGAGCATTGTATTTTTAATGGCCATGTCATACAAAAATCGGTCAAGGTGTAAATAAATGTAAAACAAATTTACGAGTTAAATAGCGTTGCTGAAGATTTGAATAAGAAATATTTGTGTAAATATTGCACTTGCAGGAAAACAGAGGTATTTTTGCAAGTTTTGCTGAGTCTAGGACAGATTCGCTGTCAGCTCGGCTTTGACTTTGTCTTCTGATTGAATGACATGCTGCTGCCTTTTTCTTAAAAAGATACAGTGGAAGAAAAAGGACTGAACATGGAAACTGTAAAGCCTAATTTAACCCAATGTGTGAAGTTGTGGACGTATAGCAGGAGCAAATACAAGCACCAGATGTGTGTCTAATATAAATTAATAAATTTAATCTATTTTTCTTTTTCCCCCTTTTAAAAACCGATCATTTGATGCGCTTTGCTCCACTCTCTATTATGCTGTCTGATCTGTCTGGTTTTCAACTAGGTCCGCTAAATGACGTCATGGGGGCGGCTACTTTCATTATCACTGCTACAGTCCCTCCCCTCTACTCGTGTTCAAACCAAAAGATCGGCGCGGGTTTTCACATGGCAGGCTTTTACATCCTTCATACATGTTGAGATCGAGTTTATCGACTTGATAAAGGAATATCTTGACAATCCACACAGACGTGCAACAAGTAAAATCCTACATGACTTCACGCTTTAACAGGGAGTCAAGCAGGTCGCACAACAGAAGCGCCGCGACACGGCATGGACATAACAGTTTAAACTATCACACACCAGATGCGCACATTTACATGATATTTAACATGAAACTAATCAGATGGCGCTCTGTGGGCCGGCTGAAATATGAACTGCTTTGTGAATCGTGGCTGGGCGGCACCGGTGTGTGTATAGAAACCTGTTTAGAATTGTAAAATCCATGGCGTGGTGCTGCACGGCGCGTCGCCGAGAGGCGCTTCTGGTGTGCTTCCTGCTTCATACAGAGAGTGAACCCAAGCGCATAGGTGCCATTATAATGTATTAAATATATATATATTTAAAAAATAAATAAATAAATAAATAAAAATAAATAAATAAATTTAAAAAAAAAAAAAAAAAAAAAAATCACAATTTCTCGATTTGATTCAAAATTAAATCGTCTTAAAACGTAAATTCGAATTAATCGAAAAAATCTGAAAAATCGCCCAGCCCTAGGTGTAACAGAGTTTATTTAGCATTCACTTATTTTGTTTTGCAATATTCCTAATACAAACTGCAAATTAATACATTTTCTTGTTTCAAAATGATCCTAATTTTAAAAATTTAGTCCCGAGGCAACCCTACATTCACACAGACATTATGCAATTTCTCAGTGTTATGTAAGGGCACATTTTAATTACCAAATATTTAATCTAAAAAAGATGCAGATAAGCAATAATGAATGTACAATTCAACCCAGGATCATTTTGGAAATATGTGCCTCAGCTTACATTTCTGTAAAACGCGAAAAAATATATTGCTCCAGGGACATTTCGCTTCAGATAACCAATCCACTAGAGGACAGTGTCTACATTTCTCAAATCTAAACTTTGTTACTTAACGTACGTTTTGGTGTACGTTTCAGATACACATCTAAGAGAAGGCAAAAACTGAGGTAAACCCTTCACTAAACCCAACCAATAGGCTTATTTCATGTGGTCGCCATTTTAAAGAACCAAAGCGAGGCTGTGGTAGGAAGAAACCCAGAAGTATATGATCAGCAGTGTAAACATTGCAGTAACATGCTGTGGACTACAAACCTCCAGCTGTTGCCGCGATTTTAAAGTGCAGATGTGGTGTAAACATCACTTTAATATCATTCAGTTCAGTTTAATTCAAACAATTAAAAGCAGATTAGCTATCAAACACAATCTCTTTAAGAGTAATACGCTGAAGTGTCCTCCAAGGCTTCAGCTCATGGAACCAGGTAAACACCGAGGGGACGCTTCCCTGCTTCAGCCAATGTAACCCGGTAAGTGATAAAACCAGCCTGATCTCACGAGAAAACGTACGTATTTTACGTTTTGCCAGTTTAGTGGCTAATTCGTACGAATTCGTACGATTTCAGTCGTACGAAATGATACGATTTTAAAACGGAGGTGTGGCACTTAACCCCACCCCTAACCCCAACCGTCATTGGGGGATAAGCAAATTGTACTAAATTGTACGAATTAGATCGTACAAATTCATACGAATTAGCCACTAAATGAAAAAGTTACCAATTGCCGTGAGATTGTGTTGGATAAAACACTGCAGTCCTCTGTAGCACACCCTTGTGTTGTTTAATAGTGTTGTCCTCTGTCCTTGATCTATTTTAAACCTATTAAATCCAAACATATGTACTTTTTGAAGCTTCACAAAAATGTAGGCTGAAGCACGCATTTCTCATCGGGTCTGTGCTGATACAATGACAAGCGGATTTTGAAACAAGCACACAGAATGAGGCCTCAGGCAACATTGGAAAGCTATTAGCTTGATTACAGTCTGTATCAGTGTTTTCGGTTGCCTCACTGCGAGCTTTCAGAGCGATTAACCAGAAACCACAGCGTCTGTTTGTTCAAAAATCGCAAACCATCAAGGTTCACTGAGAATCAATCAGGCAAGAATAAAAACCTACCGGTCAGCAGGCGCGTCCTTGCTCATTTTGTCTGCTGTACGGGTGGCAGCTGTTCAAAAAAAACACAACAACAACATTAATCAACACACAACTCAAGCTTTAACCTCATACTATATATATATATAATAATACTTTTATATAATAAGGATAAAAATCAGGGCTCAACAATAAAGGACTGCCGGATGGCCCGGGGCCAGCGTGTGAGATGCTCAGGACCACTGATAGTTTAATTTGCCTGTGACTATCTGTCAATTGCGTGCAAAAACAGTCAGAATCAAGAAACAGTTTGTGTTTTTAAGCCTTTAAATGCTACCTTTTCGGTTCCTCTTATCTGATTGGATGTTGTGAGCACATTTACGAACATTTTGACACATTTCTTTTCTAAATTTGTGGCTAAGGAATTACTATTAACTTTTTTTTGGTACTGCCAGTAAAAATATTGGCAGGGCAAGTAAAAATCTGAACCACTGGTCCGATCGGGCCAGTAGAAAAAATCTTTAGCGTTGAACCCTGAAAATGTATTAATTAATTAAAAATATACATCAATAACACAGTTAAAATATTTCAGAATCAGTCTCACTGCACTGCACTCTTCACTTATTTGCACTCTACCTGCTAAGTGCCTTTATTTAGATAGTATTGTCAAATATTTTGTATTTTCTTTCTTCCTCTTCTAATTTTTACTAAAACTATTAGCATTTATTGCACATTTTCACTCCTCTTGCAGTGTTTTCCTTATTTGTAAGCACCCAGGGTCTGAAGGTAACATTATTTCAATTCTCTGCATGTCTATAGATGTGGCAGAATCAACAAAACAGCTGACTTGATCATCACATCCTGCACAAATTACTTGCTCTTCAGCGAAGACATCATTCAATTAATCTAGACATGCACATTCTGCAAAACAACATCCGTCCTTCATGCAGTAAAACACCTTGCCAATCCTATAATGTGTGAAATAATTCTTGATTTACTCACATGCAGCACATGAGAAGATCTGGAAAGCACTCGAGTAATCAACTCAAGGAGTTGTACACCACACTGAGTGCATCAAATATAAAGTACACTAAACAGTAGCATGCGCTCACATGAACAGACATGGCTATGTGAACAGAGGAGGAGTGATCACGCATCACTCAGTGTGATTTCACTGCAGGGGCATTCACAGTAATCTAATGATAAAATGAACACAGACAATATACTGACAGAAAAAAAAATGTGCATGTAATGTGAAGGAATGCACACTATAAACCATAAGCTGTTAATAATATTGA